CTTCCTATAAAAACAGTTATTCACTATTTGGTAGAGCCATGTCAACTGTCAAATTTGACACATTTTTCGATGATCTCACCACGTGGCCACTATGCAGAGGGTGGATGCAGCGTCGGCAATATATGGATTTTTAAGCCCAAAGCGTCGCCGGCCATTTTAAAGATGCGTTGCCGGGTAATTTTTAATGAAAAGCTATTTACGCTGAGTAACGACAAACTATTTACAAGCCACGAACTTATTACAAGGTTGCATGCACTTGTTACCCCAAATAACTAATTTTACCCTAAAAACAGTCCGGTTGTACAGCAAGTGTCAACTGAACAAGTAATAAAGCAGTCTGACCGCTCTAATGCGACCGAAACTACGCAATCGAAAAGATGTTGTTTACATTTTTTGCGGGAACTCATCGCAACTGATTTTAGGACAAGCTTTGCTGCATCGTAATCCATCCAACGTACCGGAAACCTTACTTTTTTTCTAAATAGTTGGCTGAAGACTGAGAAATATATTAAATGCAAGAATTTCAATCTAAATGTGTCGGCAAGATCTTTTGAAGGCAAAAATTTTGCCGATAATGCGTCGCCGTATGTCTTTAAATCTTCGTTCACTCTCTGCACAGTGGCCACGTGGCATGCATTGTCTCTCTTTGGATCTCAATATTTTCCCGCTAGATGGCCAAGACCTAGTGTTTTTGCAGTATTTCGACACGCAAATGTATGACGTCACCATTTCAACCATCAATGAACGCATGGAACTAAAACAAAGCTTAATATAAAGGAAAAACTAGAGAAGTGACAGAATTACCTACGATGTCGGAATATACCGCGTTGTTGCCGGGAGGCTTTTGTGGCTTGTGTAGCACAGCCTATCTGTGCTTATTTATCCTTGTTATTTGCCTCCGGCCTTGCCTTGACCTCACTTTAATGTCCTTGTTCTCTTCTGTTTCAGTCACTGTTACAGATATTCATTAACTATAAGCTGAGCCCAATGAATGATACTCAGCTGTGTAACAGAGCGGTCTGACAGTCCTGACCACTCGTGCTTAGCCATGCTGGTTAGTGAATGTTCACCCTTGTATATATATATGTTTTGTCTGCATTTTAATTAACTTGTGTTTCTGTAAATAAGGCATTGGTTCTTGATTTATTATGATTCTTTGATTCATTATATTCAATACTGCATTTCCTCATGATTCCTATTTTAAACAAATAGTCAACTATACTTAATAGTCTGTCATTGCATTCTCAACCGTGTTCACCTTGCAAACCCTTTTGGTTCTTTGGTTTTACTTAACTTGTTTTGATCCCATTTAATTATGACTATATCCCTTGCTTGTTTTGTTGACGTTAACTGATAAGTCCCTTGCCTTCACTTTACCCTGCAGTGCTTGATTACTAATTATTAATTTCAATCACAGCTTCTTAAATTATACATCCTTTGCTATTTTATTAATTTCATTTATTTTTTACAGCTGGCACGGTAATGTCAAGTCCACATTAACCCGGCCTGTGCTTTTCCCTTTATTAGTGATTTTTTAGATTTTATTTTTGCCTACTGCAAACCTTAATTTGTTCATCTGACATTGTTCCTAATAAAATTTAAAACCTTAAAGCTTTCAAACCTTAAATTTAGACAAGAATTAGCGCTTCCACAAATATTTATTCATTCTCGTTGTCGTGGCCCTTCCTGTTATAAGAGGGGATAAATTGCAACTCGCGGTGCGCTGAGACTCGCACGATAACAGCGTTTACCCTACATGGCCTATTGCCAAAACAATTTTATTAAGAAACAATGTATTTTTTATGTTGATTTTCCTTAGTAAGTTAAATTTCCCAGTCTTTCAATTCTCCCTACCTAATCTCTCACTCTTGTATTATTACTAATTACTATTAGTTTAAGGCCAGGGTGCAGAGGGTGGAAGCAGCGTTGCCAATATATGGGTTTTTAAGCTCAAAGCATTGTCAACCATTTTCAAGATGCATCGCCACGTAATTTTTAATGAAAAACCATTTATGCTGAGTAATGAAAAACTATTTACAAGCAGGTAACAAGCCATGAACTTATTTACAAGGTTGTATGCACATGTTACCCCAAATAACTAATTTTACCCTAAGAACAAGGACACAGGGTAATACTTTAGATTAAGTGCATCCAAAAAAAAGGGTGTTTTTTTTATTTAATTATATGTTTTTTGGAGTGTTGATTAAGGCCCTGATTGAGACCTGAGAGGCTTCGAACAGGCTGGGCTCTTCCCTATGCGTTTCTTCACTAATTAGGATTAGGATAGACTTTACTCCACTCGCAAATGAGATGGCGATATGGATTTTTCCATACTTACCTAGCTATTTATTTATAAGTGTTGACCAGTAATAAAAAATGTGTAGACTTTGTATTAAAAGAGTTTTAATGAGAGGAAATTTCAAGAAACTTTGAATATTATTGTTCATCATGTCTGCTACTTTTACACTTTTTTTGAGATATAAACGGGTTGTAATTTTTATTGTCAATTGAATGGTATATTTGGCATTCCTTGATCAGCTTCCTTGTTATAGATATTTTCTACCAAAAAATATTTATGATCGAGTCTGCTGATACGCGGAGGGAAAATCCCGCATACTAGCTGCTCAAATGGAGATGTTGTGCAATGTTTGAGGGGAAAGAGATGTCGTAAATTACTCAACTGTCAGTTCACAACGGGTGGCATGGTACAGGCGAAGTCAATGAGGGGCAAAGAATAATACGTGGCCAGTGGTCGGCCTATCCAATTAGTTATAGCTGACCGTTGGCCATTCCTCGGCCACCTGAAAGCGACCAGTTGCCGACAGGGAGTCAGGGCTGGGTGGCTGTGAGTCAGGGAGTCAGGCAATTTTTCTTGCTTGTATTAGGACGCATTTTAGCTGCTGCCTTCTGTCCAAGATATTCCCTATACAGGGCATGAAATTTTTCATGTAATTAGCCTCTGGCACAACAAAAACAGGGTAATAAATGTGATGCTTTCAAGTGTCTTGAACCTGCCTAAACATCTCGTTTAAATGATGTTGCATAATTATTTTGTGCATTTTGCCTACGAATTTATACCTGAATATTATAAAGCTATTTGCATAATGATGTGTTTTATTCACCATTTCCCAGATTGCTCGAGGAAAACTGTACAAGAACATGACCCTTTGCTTCAATTCCTGCATTTTCCATCACAGTTATCTCGACCTATCAGTTTATCAAGAATATCCTTGAATGTCCTTCCTTCACACCCTCGTATTCCAAGATATATATCTTTTTATACTGCCTTGCTTGCAAGGTTCTGTGTTCTCCGTGAACTAGCCTGCTGCCGCAAGGGGTGGCCCAGGGGCCATGCTTTCAAAATTCGCTAAGTGAACGTAAGTACTTACGCTCTATTTTCTTGTCTATGATTACTGGATTTTCCTTGAAAGGCCGTCAATGATTGGCTGATGAACTTACGATCACTTAACTTTTTTTGAAAGTATGGGCCCAAGTCGCCACTAGGGGCCGGCGATCCCCCGGCTCCCTAAGGCCTAAGACACTATTACTCATTTCATGAGTTAACTGGGAGCATTTTAACAGATTTTAACGTCAATATGATGTCAATAAATGATGAACGTCAATGATGAACGTCAATAAAGCTACCAGAACACAGTAATCTATCATTTCATAGGTAAAATTAATTAAAATCTCCTGCATGATTTCTAACGGTGGACTATCAGTTGGCATCGCGGGTCGAACTAAACAAATGAAGCCCTCTCCCTTGCTGGCGTTCCGCGGGCACTGTTAACGCATAATAAATACCATGAAGCTTCTCAATGATAATATTCTGGTGAAGCTGGCATGGGGCGAAATGCTCTTAATGCCCGTCAGACTCTTTTAAACTTTGAGAACTTCAGTGTCCTGCCCCGATTTTCCTCCTGCCGTCTTTTGCCATTCGTCAAATTATTTGAGCAACGTTTATTTGACTGCTCCTCTGTACGTCTAAAGAGTTTCATCCCAACGCTGACCTCAACCCATGCTCAGTAAGTTTCCTTTCAGTCACCCGGATAGTCTACAATGTACTGGCATTGATGTGCCTACACCTGAGTGCCCAGATGATGTCAAGGCCTGCCCTACTGCCTGCTTTCCTTCACCTATACTCCGCTGCCTAGGCCTGTCCTACTTGCTTATTGTCCGCACTGTAACCCACGCCTCTCCCCCTACCTGCCCTCCCGTACCCCTTTTCCTAAACCTGCCGCAGTCGAACCTTCACGTTCTCCACTAAGAGAAGTGATTGTTTGCCCCGGAGGCTCCAGAATATAAGTTTTTCCCCGTTTTCCATCCACGAAGAGGTCGCTGGCCGAGTCCGCATGATCGCTATCAGTAGCAGCCTGCTTATTCTAACGTTGGCACTCTGCACTCAATCCTGGATACTGATGGCCGAGATCGGCTCTTTTACCTAGGCGGCCTGAGTTCTAACCAGTTCTTTTAGCGTTTCAAACCAATATCGTTGAGGTTTACGGTGGCATCTTTACGGCGGTCAAACATCCGGTATTTGAGCAAGCTCCTTGTCTTTCGTTCCCTACATTCGGCTCTTTGCTGATCCGCGAGACGGTATTAAATGCGTGACCTGTGGCATAGAGAATTTCTGACATCAATGTGGAAGTCACCAGATTCGAACAGGCCTATGCTTGGTTCCATGAGACAGTTTCTTTTCTCTCTGTTTCTGCTTTATAGACCGCCCAGTTGAAGCGGTTTTTTTTTCTATTCCCCATAGTTGCAGCCATGGTTGAACTAGTTTAATGTTGACCCTATAGAAACACATTTTACGGATGAAGTTTGTTGTTCGCCCGTGACGTCACTGATCTCAGTGACGTCACGGTCATGAACCAATCACCGAAATGCGTTCAAACCAGTCAACCAATCCGTCATGGCAATGACGGGATTGTTTACGTTTCTCGATCTGCGTGACGTAACAAGAAAGCTGAACTGAAAGGCTGATTTCCTCGGGGGTCAACCACCCTATATAGTTCATACATGGTTGTAGCATTCCTTCGTTCCTTACTGCTATATATATTTTCAGCATTTGCGATTACTTCTTCTGTCTTACATTTTTCACGTGCATTTTAATTGAAATGTTATTTCATTCTCATAGGATTATTTACATTAACGCGATTCGACCGTCGAAATATATAATCACATTTACATCGAGATGTGCACTAACGTGTCGGTGGAGTGTCCCTCTGTGGTCTACGCTTTCCTCACTAATCTACGCTCTGAGCTCGACTGCGGCCCTGACATTCAGGTTAGTTTCCGCTGTAATGAGCTCAATGCTTCGCTTCTTTTAAAAATCATTTAATCATTCATCTCACGGGTTGAGTTTTGGCATTAACTTGAGGCTGTTAAAGTAAAGTGAGTGAAAAAGATCGGTTCACCATATAGACTGAAAGTAAAAAATATCGTCTCTAGATTACATGGAGGTTAATAAATTTCGCACGCGTTCGACAGGAAGGCTTTCTGCTTGGGTCGTTGACGCACTACACGCGCACGCAGATCACCGACGCCGACATGGGCGCGCAGACTAGCCACACAAAGCGGCGTGAGTTTCAGGCTTTTGTCTTGTATGAACGATGTGTTTGGTCGCGTTGTGTGAATTTAATTCTAGGAATGTTTATGTTCTGTAAAGCGCAATCGTTGCCCCCAAGTTTGTATTATTTAATTTTTCATTCTGTCAGGATTGTATGTTCGGTATTCTAATTTTTAACTCTCTCGCATCTCGATTATTAGCTTCATCACATGTACCTACTTCATACATGATCGCGCGTGAACTGATATCTTGAAAGTAAGCTTGTTCTATCTTAATTTTTTAACTCACTGCTGCATCCCTCAAGCCACAGTATTGTTAAATCAAGTCATTTACTAGAATAATAGTAAAGCATTCCCATTGCTATGCAGACATTTCATCGTACCTGCCAATGGACGGGCTAGGTGAGATGTACAACGCCAGCGGCGCCGTTAGAGACTACACGCTCGCCAGGGTCAAAGAGTTCGCCCATGCCAACCACCTGGTGAGACTCATTATTATTACAGCTGCCTTCACCTTTCCTTTTACCTTTTACTTTTACATTCACCTTCTACTTCTACCTTTCCTTTTACCTTTTACTTTTACATGCACCTTCTACTTCTACCTTTCCTTATAACCGTCTCTACCCAACCAATTTTAGGGAAGGGAACTTTGGCACAGGCACGTTATCATGACGCTGTTCCTGCAGAGCGTGGTGGGCTGGTACCGATGGCTGTCGGAGAAAGATCCCTGGGAGCGCAAGGTAATAATGGAGCGTCGCATACACAAGCAGCTACAGCAGAAGCTCGACGCTGATCAGGGCTTCCTGCTACTGCTGTTCAACACGTGCAGGGAGGGACCAGACGTTCCGCCCAGCCCCACGCACCTCCTGCTGTGCCTCAATGACGCGTGAGTGGTGCCTCGTGTTGTTGTTGTTGCCCCAGCCGAGCGCGTCAGTCGGGCTGGTCCAGACGGGGCCGGAGCCAACCAGCCACTGGAACGGGCCTTCGCCATAGGTCTATGATGTTAAGGGATGTGGGATTGCTGATGCAGTTGAAAAGATGAGGCACGTCGTCCGGCAGAAGACAGCAGTGTGGACAAATGTTGTTGATGTTGTCGATACGGTTTTTGTAGCTGTTGGGTACAATGGAGTGGCCGGACCGCAGTTGAGCAAGTATTCGTCTTGTTTTGCGTGGCAAAGTGGCTTCGGACGGGTCAATTTTTGGCGTGGGTGTTGACCAGCCGTTGAGAAGTACCGGGGCGTGGTACGCCTCAACGGCGGTTCGGGCGGCGCTTGTATGTAGTGTGTTGCAGGCAGTTTTGATGGATTGGCTGTTGATGGCGGCTGGCATGACGGGTTGAATGGTGTCGTGGTAGCGGGCGTGCAGCGTTTCTTTTCTTGTACGAGGTGGTTGGTTGAGGGTAGTGATGCGGTGGCAAGGGTTGTTGATGTCGTGGCTCTTTACGAGGAATTGTGCGGCCAGTAGATCGGAGTGCTGTTGTACTGTTAGCATTCCGCATTCTGAGTGGAGGTGTGGTTCAGAGGTGATACTGTGGCATCCTGTGATTGTGCGGCGTTTTGTACTGTTCATATGCGATTGAGATTGGACTTGGATGTGACAGGTATCCAGGCCGTGCAGGCATAATCGATTATTGGGCGGCCAATTACTTTGTAGGTCTGGAGGAGCGTTTCCTTATCTTGTCCGTATGTGGTTCCAGAGAGAGCTTTGAGGATATTGTTGCGTTTCGAAGCTTTGAAGGCGATGTTTTTATGGTGGGCAGTGAAGGTGAGCGTCGTGTCGAACGTGAGACCGAGGATTTTTGGGTTGTGGTTGAGCGGCAGGACCTGGTTGTTTATTTCCACTTGTGGTTGGTGATTGTATTGAGCGGTGTGAGAAGTGATGAGCGTGACTATTGACTTGGTGGCTGAAATTTCGAGATTGCGTTGGGTAAAGGAGGTCAGCTCTGGCACATAGTTATTGAGTTGTTCGGTAAGTCGTACGGTGTCGGGTCCAGTTGTGTAGATGGTGAAGTAGTCTGCGTAAGAGATGAATTTGAGGTTTGGCGGAGGTGGTGGGGCTTTGGAAACGTAGTGTTTGAAGAGCAACGGGGACAGCACGGATCTCTGTGGTACCCCAGTGTGAATGATTTGTTGTTTCGATGTTTCATTGCGGAATTTGGTGTAGGCTGAGCACCCATGTAGATAGTTAGTGATCCAGCGTGCGATTGAACGGAGCAGGGTGGAATCGAAAAGGTCGTTAACGAGTGTTGATGGTTGACGGTATCGAAGGCTTTGCTGAGGTCCAAAGCGGTAATGATAGTGCGGTGGGCAGGTTTCTTTTGGTTGAGTCCATTGGTGACGTCGTTTGTCAGGAAAACGAAGACCGAGGTGGTAGAGTGTTCGGGTCTGAAACCGTGTTGGTGCCCGGCGAGTGTAAGGTGTTCGTTGATGATAGGTAGGAGGCATTTTTCGAGAACTTTGACGTCTGGACAGAGGAGAGAGATCGGTCGGTACTAGGAGGAGGCTTGGTCTTCTGGTTTACCGGGTTTGAGTAGATGGATCACTTTAGCGGTTTTGTAGATTTCGGGTATTCGGCAGGCTCTGAGCGACCCGTTGAATAGTTTGGTCAGGTAGGTGATTCCGTGAGGTCCGAGGTGCTTTAGGTGAAGGATTGTAAGCTGGTCGGGTCCAGTGGCTTTGGAAGGATGAGAGTATGCCTCCTGCAGTGCCTGAATGACGCGTGAGTTGGGCATCAATAAAGCGTTTGTTGCCTCGTGCAATGGCTTAATGACGCGAGGGTTGTTCTGTAGCGGATACACTAACACCATTTCTATTACCTCACTTAAACCGGCATATAATTTGCAGTGGTCACTGGGTGAGGCTGCCGCTGCAGTTGATAAACTTGGGCAACACCTTGAGCAGCGCCTACAAGCAACACCTCGAGACTGACAACCATGAGCACTACACCTCCTTGGTGCTCGCTGCTGTCCTGCAGCAGCCGCAGCCAGTGAAGTGCGCAATTCATAACCTGTCGTTTGTTACGTTTACAGTTTTTTTTTTATTCTTGAACTCTCTAATAATTGGGATGTTTTTTTTTTTCGTCATACGCATTTGTTTTAGATAATGTAATTTGATTGTGAAATTGATTATTTTATTTAAGATTACTGACAAGCTTTCCATGTAGCCGCTGAGTTATCAACTGTCTCCCACTAGACTGCAGGAAAATGCAGCTTCTTACCATGACGATGGGTTTGTTGCAGGCACCAAAAACTCGCAGTGGAGGCGGCCAAGAAGCAACACGCGAGCTTGTTGAACGTATTGCAAAAGCACCTGTCACCGTTGTCAGAGGCGCAGGTGCAGCGCAGCAAGAAGGTGCAGCAGCTACAAATGCTGCGCTCCATCTGCTATCAGCATGGCATCAACCCTGGTACTGTCTCACGAGTGCTGCTGTCTTGTGTTGCCGCTTATAGTGTATGTAGCATTGTAAATGTGTATGTACACCCTACAAGGTGTAGCATTGATGTAGGGTGCGTACCAGTCATGGAAAACCTGGAAAGTCATGGAATTTGATTTATTACTTTTCAGGCCTGGAAAGTCATGGAATTTGATTTATTACTTTTCAGGCCTGGAAAGTCATGGAATTTCATTTCAGATTTTGGAAGGTCATGGAATTTGCAAATAAATGAAAAGTGGAAGTGTTTTTGTGTGCTGCGTGTGTTTCCCCATTAATGTCGAGCGGATCCATTTAAAACCAGCGGACTAAAATGTGGATTCATAATAAAATTGTAAGATTAAATAAATATACAAGTGGATGCGTATGTCTGATGCACATCTTGCACAGGTTCTGGCAATGTTTGGTTCTGCTGGGCTGAATACTTCCTTTTCAGTTAACATTCAAAGGTTACTAGAACCAGGTCATGGAAAAGTCATGGATTTTTTTCTTAATCCTGGTACGCACCCTGTTGATGGTACTGTGTGTGATCATGAGAATGGGACACTTGAGTTACTTGGCTGATATAATGATATTTACCTTAACAGATACTTGTTGATGATAGAAATATAACGTATGAACCAATTTCAATCAGTTAATGAATAAGATGATGGTGACATAAAATGTCACCATCAATGCCATAATTGCCACTTTGGGTGCCTTAAGCACAAATCTGGAGTATCAGGCTGAATTTCCCATAAATTGCAGGTAAAATTATAGTTTTCCAGCTAATCTGTGAAATTCCTGAAGGTGCTTTGCTTATTATTTATAAAATGAATTAGGCATGTTTCTTAAAAGTGGATGAAATTGACCGCAACATGGGAATTTTTGTCTCATTCACAGGTGGCTCCTTCCTGATTTTCCAGAAAGCCATTGCACCTATGTCAGCAGCCAGTAATATATATATACAATCTATTTTATAAGCAAAATAAATCATAGCTATAGAGCAATCAAAACTGTTTCAAAGTCCAAACTGAAAAACGTGCAGTAGCCATTTATGAATGAGACAAAAATGCCTGTGTACATGGATAATTTCACCTATTGTAATGGCTCCTGTCTAACTTCTTGTGTATAAATTGATGGATGAGTACAATTTAGCGACCAAATTTTCATTTTATTTCATTGAAGAGTGGCAAGTTAATTAGTATCAGACTAGTGGCATATTAATATACCGTCAAATGGGGTAATTAGGGACGGGCGGTGTAACTCAGGACAGTCGCCCTACATTTCGTAGAAATGTTATAGCTATGTTATAGATAAACTAATCTTGCCAGGCCCTGGAGGAGAAAAACAGGCTACTCGTGTTAGAGGACAGATTTCGGAATGTAAATTTCTGATATACGTGGAGAAATACTGAAATTTGATGGTACTGATGGTATTCACTAAAGTATTCCTTTCTGTTTCAGGTATGTTTTTAAGATAATTTTTTGTTATAGTGACTGCACTTGACCCAATTAAAATGATATGAAATTGCAAGTCGTCTTGTAAGCTTACAGATACAGAAGAAATGCTATGAGGCTGCTGATATGAAGCTTGCAGTGGACAAGGTCGTTGTAAATGCACAATGGCATGTTCATGGATACGTAATTTGTTTCAAATCTACTTTCAGGTGAGCCGCCTGCAGAAGAACAGCCCGCGTGTGAAGATTTCGAACCTGAGGAAATTTCGTCCAACAACTGCCGAGTTGTGTGCCGAACTGTGGGATTTGGAAGTCCTACTAAATTTTACCCAACTACTCCCGTGTCCGATGTTATCTTCAGCACCAGCCAAATCAAAATTAGTGTTGAATCTCTTGTTTCCGGTTAGTACAATGCTCAATAGTTCCTTAGTTCAGTTCTAAGTAATCTGGCTGTATACTAACGTGATTATTAACGCTGCATAAATTATTATTATTTGCTCCTTGACCTGAGGTTCGTGTGTCTTCTCATTTCAGGATCCCCACAAGTCGTGGAAATAATCATTGAACTGTCTGATATTATTAATGTTTTCTGCCATTTTGGCAAGCGTATGGCAGCTCTTTTCGTCATCGTAGAAGGCGTCGCTGTCGACGAAATTCGACGCAAATTGGAAATCGAAGGTGGGCAGTAGCGCGCTACATGTAGCGGCCGCTACATTTTCAGTAGCGGTAGCGGCGCTACATTTAAGCAATGGTAGCGGTAGCGCTCGCTACATATTTAAGTAGCGATACGAGGTTTTGCCGCTACAGCGCTACCGCTACATTTATAGTTAAAGCCTTTAGATTTTACTTAATAGTATTAAATATTATTTAAAAACCAGCATGATACATACATAATATAAATTACAGAATGAAACTGTACGAAAGATTTCGGTGTAATGTTGTCATAAGTAACTTGATGTTTTAAGTAACTTGATGTCTTTTAGTAACTTGATGTTTTTTAACTTGATGTCCGAATGATTAATATTTGAGGAAACCTGTCTAAACTATCACTTTTCTATGGCAGATGACTTTTGTCGTGCGGTGCTCTTGCCCGAAAAGAGTAATGAAGAAACTGAGGCTGCCATCAAGAATATTTTCAAGAGTCGCATTGCCAAGAATAAGGAATTTTTGTGGGAAGTAGACCATGATCTGGCCAAAAAGTTGTTTGAGGATTTTGGGGTTCCAGAAAGGCATACTACTTTGTGTCAAACCTCCAATTACATCAAGCGATTGCCTCAAGATTCAGAAACGTAAGAAAGTGTCATGTATTTTACAATAAAGCTTTGTTTTGACCTACCTCATTTTTTGGGCATCATTGTTCCTTTCTGCCCTTCAGTAGAAGCTTCATTTGAATGATTTTCATGGTTACGCTTTTCTTCACTTGAAATATATTTTTCTATTATATTTTGCAGGCTCCTGTATTTTGTGATAAATTTCGTGTAAATAGTCTATAAATGAAAAACGTTTCAATTGTTCATATAGTAATATTTTACTTTCTGCCTTGGATTATTTGTAGAGATGTTGGTTAATAAGTGTCCTGAGTTTTATTTATTACTGATCATTTAATTGCTTCCAGGCTCCTGATTTATCCACCACCACCTCAGAAGAGTGGCATTTGCATCACCATGCTTGACTACAAAAGTCTGCAAGAAGAGAGCTTCCTCAATGATACTATTTTGAACTTTTACCTCAAGTATGTTGTTTAATCGATAATAAGTACCTAAGATACTTGGAGCTATTATCATGTTCAAATTCTGAGTGACTTCATTGAAGGAAGTCTTCAAAAATAAAATAATAAATAATTAAGAAGTAAGTCCTTCAAAAATAATGTCCTATAGGTCTTATCCATATTTTTACTAATCATAAAGATATATAATATATCATGCGTTTCTTCAGTTGGTTTCTAGGTAGGTTGCCGGAGAAGCAGCGCAACAAAGTTCATTTGTTTTCTACACTATTCTACAAACGTCTAACAACTAAGTATCATCATCCTGCTGAAGATGATCCACGACTTTCAGCTGCGGCGAAACGACATGCCAGAGTCAAGTCCTGGACTAAATGTGTAGATATTTTTGACAAAGACTTCATCATCATTCCAGTCAATGAACAGTGAGTATTGCTAGTGTAGTACATGATCGATCTAGCGTTTAAGGATAGATATTTGAAAAATTAATGTCTAATCGATTTTTACATTAATAATCTTGGCATTTGACACTGGACCTGCAAACTAGTCTCTGGGTCCTCGTACGTGCTGTTTCCTCGTATGTGTGTTTCTTTCGTGTGCTGTTTACGGGATCAAAATAGCATTTTTTCTGTATCAGGGCACATTGGTTCCTGGCCATCATTTGCTTCCCTGGACTGCGCGAACCAGTCCATTTTGAGTCTGGAGCGCCCATAGCTCCTGAGGCCCTGGCTGCGGAGCAGGCAGCATGCGTCAAAAATGGCGCTGGCAGGCGTAAAGTACGGCACCAGGTAAGGCGCTCACTGCATTAGCAACTGAAGATAGAGTTTTTAATTTGAACAATTTACTTGCGTTATTCACTTAGATACAAAAATGTCTTTATAAGTTTTTGACCCTCGAAATTATTCCAGCAAATTCCTATCATTGATGATGGGGAGTGCAGCCACCGTGACGAAGCTGAAGGGGACGAAGATGAGCTTGAAGAAGACGAGGATGAGGATGATGACGCCAACAGTCTGCAACCCTCGAGGGAGAAAAGCAAAACTACAGAGCAGCAGATCCCTGGGTTAGGAGGTGACGAGGAGCAGCAGCAGACGCCACCTGCCAAGAAGAAGTCTGCCTGCACATTGCCGCCCATTAAACAGTAAACATCTTATTTTTAAATTACACCAGCAGTTTAATGTGAAGTTATATTTATGCGCGTGATCTTAAGTTTGCTCGTATCACTTCAGCTGAGGCTGTATTGTTGAGTTGCAGTTTTTCATAACAAGTCGTGGAACTTCACAGTCACAAATGCTGTTTGTGCACGTGATATGCTATTTTATTTATTAAAGTTGAGACATTTTATTCATTTCTTTTCTTACATTTAAATTTAAATTGATGGATCTACTGGTGTTTGTTTTGAAATTTTCCAACAGACCCTGTATATTAATTTTGGACTCGCTGCCGTGCGCTCCTGACCGTGAGCACACCGTTGCCATGCTGAGGGATTACCTCAGAATGGAATACATATGCAAACGCAAAAGAAACGATCGCACCTTCACACGCGAGACACTGAAGGGCGCTGTGCCATGCGTACCGAAACAGACCAATTTCATCGACTGCGGCCTCTACACTCTTCAGTTCACCGAGAGCTTCTTTCGTGTAATTATCCATACTTACAGTCAAGTCACGCTTAAATTATAGTCTCTTACAGCTAAATAAGAAAAAAAAATTCTGAGCATATTTTGCGCCTATGGCTAGCATTTTTATTCACATCCTATTCTGTCAAGTAGTTCTTTCACGATTTTCTTATTTTGACAATAACGTTGACTCCACCTAACCTTTTTTCAGCAACCTCTGAAGGACTACCGGTTTCCTATATCTTCAATCGTCAACTGGTTTGACGAAGCCATCGTAGCTGGCAAGAGGAAAGCCATTGCGCGGCTCATCAAGACCCTAATGGATGAATATAATCCTAACAACAACTTTATACTTCCACCAATAAGCTTCAGTACGCCCGGAGAACGCCCGAAGAAAGTACGAAGAAAAATGTGAACGGGAGTAAAAAATCGTGCTTCCCAAGCCAAGAAGCGTGAGCGTCAGCATAAACTGTTGTTGACGGTCTTTCGTCTTCATCCTGTTCTTCTGATATCGGTGTAGGACCTCATTTTGTGTCAAATGTGTTGTCTTCCAATTTGATGATGCGCAACAGTTCCTGCAAGTTAGTAACGAGTTCCAATGACGCAATGAACTCGGCTAACATTTCAACACTTTCTTCAAAATCGTTGTCGGATTCACTTGGACCAAACTATGTAAAATTCTCTCACGTGGAGGTTGAACTCGCTTCTATTAACCGGTCTGATGCAGCTGGAAGTCCGGTGTCGACGGATGCCTCATGTAATATTTGATTTGGAATTAACTACATCTTTATTTTGACTGATTTAGAATCCTCACAGCTCGCCAAGTTTGCAGAATCACTCCACTAGTGCGTCGATTGGCAGGACTCTTGGTGCCGCTTCGACGGCTGACTGCGTTTTATCAAGTGGTCAGGTTGCGAGCTTAGTTTTCTGTTTTGTTTTTCCTTTCATGGAAAAAATGTTTACATTTTCGATGCCTGCCGAACTAGAATTAATCACTGTATGCGAGTGTAAGCTGGCTTGCTAATAAAAATATAAAAAGACAAGTCCAGTTGATTTGAACCTTCTTTGTTATAAGAAATTACTCACGAATGAATTAATTTTTTGATTAAATTAATGTTTTCTTGTTAAAAATTAGATGGCTTAGTTGCTGGATATCTATTACGTTACCTTGAAAGCATCGCCATCTGACCATGTACCAGAAACATTGTAAACAACACTCACGATGCACGTAAATCGTTGCTACCGCGACCGCAACACTTGACCAAGGATGCGACCGCAACACTCCAGTGGATCAGATGACGGAAAAATTTGCACGCACCCTCAGAGTCGCTGCGAGCATAGCAATTTCCCGCTCCAGGGGTGGACCTGTCCGACATCGCGTTCCATGGTGGGATGACGACTGTGCTCGCGCCAACCTGGACCGAAAACGGGCTTTGCGACGGTTCCAGCGCTCCGGCAATGTGGCGGACTAAATTGCATACAGGAGAGCTCGAGCCCTGGCCCAGCATGTTAAGGATGGAGCCCGGAAGAAGTCTTGGCAACGGTATACATCATCCCTGAACACCAGCACCCCCATGTCCAAAATATGGCAACGGATTAAGAAAATTGAAGGAAGAACCGGTCACAGCCAGCCATGCGTGAAAGTGAACGGCGCGCTCACGGCGGACCCCCAGCTTGTGGCAGACGAGCTGGCGCTTGATTAGGTTCATTGTGGGTAATTGGAAAAAAACTCGTTAAGAAAGTTGCGTTAAGTTATCCCGGCATGGTCACAGCATGAACGCTTGGATACCTAGGCATCAATAAACAATATGTTACATAAAACAATTTATTAAAGCCATTGTTCTTAAATTCATCAGGTAACAATAAATCTACAATGCATTCGTTACTACAGGCTAAGCCTCTAGTATTTAAAACGTATTCCATTTAAAGTCGAGTGTAATAACTGACGCTATTGCGGTGTACATCAAGAAAATTATTCCATTACTTAGCTAAACAATTGTTAATAAAAGCAGGTAGGAGCGTAATGTTGTCAAACAATGAACTGCGAATATGGAGGAAATAGAATCGTCCATCGGACACTATGCTGCTGCTGAATAAAGCTGTGTAGTGAACGCCTAGGTGACTTCTAGTCATAAGAGCGTCTGGTTGAGGTGAGTTCTAGTCATAATATATAGCTTCTAGGAAAGGTCTAGTCATAATATAGAGCTTCTAGGAAAGGTCTAGTCATAATATAGAGCTTCTAGGTGACGTCTAGT